ATTTGTGTGTATATTAACCCCTTTATATTTGATGTAAGACAGTCTATTTCTATTTAGAGTTTTATTTTCTAAATGTTTCTAATTTTGACTCTGAAATTCTTATCAATTAGATCTAGCAGAATTAAGGTGTAAATCACTCACTAAGCTTTTCCATCTTTCTAAATTTTCATTTCATACTCTGTGAGTAGAATGGGTTGAAGTGTCTCTGTGCATGTTTGTGTGTGTCTGTGGGAAAGTTCATTTATTATATGAATAATAAAAGAATCATTATCATAAATATCTATGTGAATTAACTAGGTGTGAATTTATTCGTGGGCTAAAACATTCTCCCAGCTAATCTTCTCACGCTCTCTTTCTGCTTCTTTGTCCACACTATGCTTGAAGATTTTATGCATATTTAAGAAGTTTGTGAAATTTCAGAGGATTAAAGAAATTTACAAAATTAGATGTAATTTATCAACAAGATCTAGATATCTACTTTGAGATCTGAGACTTCCATTATAATCTATTAAGTCCTTTTTAACTTCAGGAATGAATTCTAAGTATAATTTATAATTGTGGCAGTTGGCGGATATTACCTTTCTTTGTAGAAAGAGTAACAACCTGACTGCTCTGTTTAAGATACTTCTTGCTTCTCAATCTGAGACTCTTTCCTTGGTCTCTGAAATTTGGCTCTGCTAACTCACCAGTTTCTGTGTGTATGGCTTGAATTCTGCATCCTGAACCACATCAATGTTTAATTTTACTTATTTTCTCTTCATTGTTTTAAGCTGTGATCATGATTCTGGGAGATTTTATATATCTGAGAATTTCATTGGTTTAAAAATGTAGGCAGAGCCTACCCACATATTGATTATATATTAATAAATGGAATGTTACTTTGCTGCTTCATCAGTTAAATTTATAATTTTAATTTGATTTTTTTTTAAATTTCAGGATGCTAATGCACTAATGGTCTGAGTCTCTGAATTCTTTGGTTCTAGCGCAGGGCATTGCTGACCCTGTCCTAAATTACTACATGATCTGGTGATAAATTTGTCTAGTAACTACATTCTACCTAGTTGAGACAAAATATTTTCAAATAGGAAATTATCCTACTCCTTTTCTAAACCACACAGAAATTGTGATAGTAGAGCAATTTTCATGGGACAAAGCACATGAATCCAATACCAGCATCAAATTATGTTTCTTAACTAAAAGTTATTTTGAAATGTATCTTCATGTAATACCCAGTGATTCTTTTGCAATGAGAAATTATTAAAATGGTTTCTATCAGCAAATCTTTTCTAAAGCTTATAATAAAAATCTAATTTAGAAAGTGTTTTCATATATGTCAATTAGTTATTACTACTGTAGGGTTTGGTAACATCCTATTCTGTATAAGGTCTTACATTGAATCATACACAAATTTATATAGAGATTGATTTTATGAAGCATTTTACCTAGAACATTTTTCTTAAATTCTCATACCAATCCTGTGATGTAATTTAATTATGCACCTTTCAGCAATAAATAAATTAAAGTAAAGGAGCTAAGGGCAACTGTCATAACCCCTGCTACTACCTTCACACTTTCCTCTGTGCCATGTTGCCGAAAATTATATTATAGTCAAAGGGGAGCAATTTAAATATGATTATTCATATCATACTTTTTCTCTGTTTAAATCCCAGTAATAATGTTAGTCTTGTTTACACGAGGCTTTTGTTTTAGGTAATTAATCATTACCAGTTTTGAAAAGAACAAAGCAATTATGCTCTTCCATAATTTCTCGGTCATACAGACCTCTAACCAGATACCATTTTCTTGTTCAGTACTAGAAACATCACATAGTCATGTGATAATCTAATTAATTTCTGAGATTACTTAGGTTTAAAATACAGTAATATTGTGAGAATATGAATGACCTCCTGTTGACCTCAAATCTCTTTAAATATACCTGTTACTTGATATTTCCATGAAGTAAAACTTGAATCCTGCACCTTTCTTTGCCTTTATATTTCTCCAACAGTTATTCAAAGCTAGGCTTTAATTACATCATGAGTACATCTTCCTTCAGAAGAATTGTCTCTAATTTCTCACTAACAAAAAAATAATTTTTTTAAAAGTAAACTTTTAATGATAGTGTCTTCCTTCTCAACACCCCTTAATACACAACCGATACCCATTGAATATCACTGTTTCTTATATTCACTTCTAAATATCTTCTTCAATCTGTACTCCTTTCAAGACTTGGATTACTCCCTCTTGCCCATTTAGCATAGAAATGAGCTCTTCTCTATTTTTTTTATGCCACCATTTTAAAATAAATTCTTCCTATCTCTTCTTTTTCACCTCTAGCACCTGTCATCTTCCTCACATGCCTTGCTGATTATTCCAGTTATATATGACAGATTTCAACTTTCCACCACTTTAGTCTTTACTTATAACATACCAACTTTGTCAAAATTTGCTTATATAGTTTCCATTGTCCCCAAATATGCAAAATAACATGAGGCACTCTGCCTTGTAGAAAATATATTAGTTAGTATATTAATTTATTGAACACATGAAAGAATTCACAGCATAATTAGAAATGCAGTTTAAAATACAAATCAGAGTATGTATGTATGTATGTATGTATGTATGTAAATTTCTAACCACATCAGTCCCTTCACTTATGGCATATCACTGGTGTCCTTAGCATGCAATAAATAAATGCAATGTGGCAAAGGTGACTGATGGTATCTCCATGAACATGTACTGCACTATGTCTAATTTTGGCTGGGTGACCCTGAATAAAAGCTGTATTTTCTGGCCTCCTTGACCAAGTACCTAAATATTGCCAATAAGATCTAAACAGAAGAGACATATTTTTTTAAAGTAAAGAACATTACAACCTTTTCTCATTTCTGCTAAGAGGAATGAAGATTGATTGTAGGAGCTTTCTTAAATACTTAGGCATGAACTCATCATGGGAATGAAGCCACACATGCACACACATTCATACACACATAGAAATATGGCCCCTGAGTCTGTAGAATACTCTATCATCAACCTTGGACTGTTTCCTACCTGACTTCTATATGAGAAGATATATCGATACATTAACCCATTAAGCCTCTGTTAGTTTGGACTCTTTAAGAATTGCATCTCAATAATCTTAGTTTATACAGAATTTAGGAACAATAAATAATAATAACCAGATCTTCTGAGACACCATATCTTTTTTGATATTTGTTTATTTCATATTAAATTTAATCACACTTGAAGTAATTACATACCCACCAGGCAAATATATTTTTGTCACCTTAGTGGTTATCTAGTTACAAAAGTTATATTGATTTAATTATAGGCATGTATTGGGGAAAAAAGTGACCAATGATTATTTCAAATTGTTTATTGCCTATATTTTTTAAAAGAGTGTCAGAAAATTTTGCTTGTCGGGTAAACTCTCTATGATGTGTTGTTTACTTAAAATTATAATTAAAAATTAGAAACTGCAAAGAATAATTGAAATAAAATATATTTTTTGCACTTAACCTCATCTAGTATACATAAAATTACAGATGAATAAAACTCTAAACTTGAGGCTACCTTACAACACTTTTGAAAAGTTAAAATTGTATAATTGATTTAAAAAGTTAAAATCATGGCTTGCTCTTAAGACCAGTGCAAAAATCATAAGCAATTTTAATATTGGTCTATTTTGTATTAATAGGTTATACATAGTTTTTTAATGCATTAATTGAATTTGTTAACTTCCGTTAGTGCTACTTTTCTTTCTCCAATTAACTGTTCTTATCTTCTAAGGATCTCTAAACCTTGTTACTATATGCCTTAATATGTCATATATTGTTAGTGACAAACCTATTACACTAGGTCAAATGTAAGCCCTCATCTTAATTCTCCACTGATCCCTACTGAGGATAAGTAGATAATTTACATGTAAGTTTCAGTTGTAAAATATATTAATGACATTTATTTTTTAAATAGTATTTTTTATTTTACAATGGTTATAGATACTCTATTATCACAAAGAGAGTAGAGAGGGCTCTCACATACTCCATACCCAGTGTCATCTATTATTAACGTCTTAATTATGACACTTTTGTCACAATTAATGAACCAGTATTGATACATTATTTACTAAAGTCCATACTTTATACATAATTTCTGAGGTTTTACCTAATGTCTGGGTAATACATAGTATTCCAGGATAGCATTTAGTTTAACATATTACATTACTCATATTGTTTATTTAGGATCCTCTTGGTTGTGACAGTTTTCCAGACTCTTTGTTTTTGATGACATTAATAATTTTGAGGTATATTGCTCAGGTATTGTGTATAAAAACCCTCAAATAGAATTTGTATGATATCTTTTTCATCATGAGACTGGAATAATGCATTTTGGAGATGAAGACCACAGGGATAATGCCACTTTTCTCATACTAAATCAAGACTACATTCTATCACAACATGGATGTTAACATTCATCACTTGACTTGAGGTATAGTTTGTCATGTCTCCCCAGTAAAGTTACCGTCTTTTTCCTGTCTTTCCATACTATTCTGTTTGGAAGGAAGTCACTATGTACAGCTCACACTTAAGGAATGAGGAATCATGCTCTAGCATCTTCAGGACAGAACACCTACACAAATTATTTTGAATTCTTCTGCATGGGAGATTTGTCTACTCTCCTCTAATTATTTTCAATTATTTAATTATATCACTATGGACTCAGGAATATTTATTATCTTTATTGGGTTAGAATCCAACACTGCTTTATTTATTTTGTTGCTCAAAACATTATAGCATTGGCCCATTGGAAGTTTGGTTTCTCTCTTCGACATCTTTATTATCACTCTGTGTGTGTACATGTGTTTAACTTTTGCTTTCTTTCTAGCACTGCAAGTTGGCATAGACTAATGTTGTATATTTACTGTTCCAGCACTTGAATCAGCCATTTTTCCAAGGAACCCAAATTTCTCTAATTTCAGAATATTAGAAACCAAGGTCTGGTTCTCACTTTGGCAAAATATACTAAACTTCGAATGGTAAAAAAGAAATTAACATGATCCTTGCATAAGGATGCCATGCAAAATAGTGAATGCGTTCCATATTTTTTTAAAGCAAAAAAGAAAAAGGGACATGAATGTTAGGTGTGTTCACTACTACTATGGTGTTGTTATTGTAGCCCTCTCAGATAAATATTGATAGAACATAAAATATATTTGTTAATATTAATGTCTTTAAATAAAATGTAAATATTTGCATATTTATTTATCTGTGTCTGTATTAAGTGAAGCATGAGGTCATGCTGAAACCTCAAATTGAATATATTATCACATGACTCATTCCATCCTCCTCCCCTTGCTTGTTATATATAACCTCCCACTTCCAAAGGGATAACCCTGGTTCCTACCATGTGTCATCCATTTTCTTAATGGTTTATTTCCAGTATACATGTATAATGATATCAGAATTGTTAACCCACACCCTGTAGGAAACAATTTTAATACTAGAGTCCAGCCCATATGTACAACTTCTTTTGCCTTTAATATTACTGATTCCATTTATTTCCACAGTTACTCAAATTTCTAGTCAGCAACTTATAACTGAACCTCCTTTAGTGAGGCTGCCTCTTACATTTGAAATAGATAGTTTCTTTATTACATTGTGCATTTCCCCTTGGAATGGAAAAAGTTGCACATATAGTCTTTGTGCTGAGAAGTTCTATGTGTTTTGACAAATGCTTAATGCTTTGTGTTCAGATTACACATTACAGATTCATACAGAATAGTTTCATTATTTTAAAAAGACTTTGCCTGTGTTTCACCCAGTTAACTCCTCCTCTACTATCACAAACTCATAGCAGCTATTGATCTGCTTATTGTCTTTATAGTTCTTTCTATTCCAGAATGTCATATAATTGAAATCCCAAAGCATAAAGCCTGTTCGGATTGGTTTCTTTCACTTAACGATATGTATTTCAGATTCATTTATTTCTTTTCTAGGCTCGATAGTCTATCTTTTTTTGATGAATAATATTTTATTTTACAGGAATATCATGATCCATTCATCTATTAAAAGACATATTGATAGCTTCTAGTTTTTGACAACTATAAGTAAGGCTGTGGAAAAGATTCATGTGCAGGTTATTGTGTGGACAAAATTTTCCAAAAAATTTGGGTGAATAATTGGGACATTGATTGTTCAGTCTATGGGTAAGATCATGTTAGTTTTATAAGAAATTGCCAAACTATGTTCTATCTCCCATTGTGGATGTAGCACTTTGCATTCTCACCAGCAATAAATGAGGGTTCCTTTTGATTACCTCCTTGCGGACATTTGGCATTTTGTATTGTTACATATATTTATTTGAGCCATTTTAATAGATGTATGATAGTTGTACCTCACTTTTGTTACCTTTGCCATTTCCTAATGTTAAACATATTTTCATAATGTTATTTCCTATTTATATTTCTTTTTGCTGTGGTATATATTGATATTGTATGTTTATTTTAATATTGTATTCTATTTATTATTGTATTATAAGAGTTCTTTGTACATTTTGCAAACAAGTCTCTTATCATATATGATCTGCAAATACTTTTTCCAGTCTGTGACTTGTATTTTCACTTCCTTAAGAATCTTTTGCAGAGCAGAAAATTTTAATTCAAGAGAAGCCAGTTTAACATTATTTTCTTTCATGAGGTGTGATATGAGACATGCATTGGTATTTGCAAAAACTATCACCAAACTCAAGGTCATGTATATTTTCTGTTTTTCAAGAAGTTTTATGACTGTACATTTAAGATAGTGTTTCCTTTTAAGTTAACTTTTGTGTAAGTTATAAGATCTACATCAAAAATTAAACCAAGGAGTTAAAAGAACTGTATTTGGAAAACTATAGGATACTGAAGAAAGAAATTGAGGAAGATACAAATAAATGGGAGCATATGCCGTGTTCATGGATTGGAAGAATTAACATCATCAAAATGTCCATACTACCCAAAGCAATTTATAGATTCAACTCAATGCCTACTAAATTACCAATGGCGTATTTCACACACCTAGAGCAAATATTCCAAAATAAATTTACATGGAACAAAAAATGATCCTGAATAGCCTCAGCAATCTTGAGAAAGGAAAACAAAGTTGGAGGGATCAAAATATCTTATATAAAACTATAGTACAAGGCCAGTACAAGGCAATCAAAACAGTCTGGCACTGGCATAAGAACAGACAGATCAATGGAGCTGAATAGAGAGCCCAGAAATAAACCCATGTACCTATGGTCAAATAATATTCTGCAAAGGAGCATGAGCATACAATGGAGTAAAGAAAGATTCTTCAGTAAATGGTTTGGGAGAACTGGACTGGTACATGCAAAAAAAAGAAAAAAGAAACTAGGCCACCAAATTACACCATTCACAAGAATAAACTCAAAATGGACAAATGACTTAAATATAAATTGTGATACCATAAAAGTCCTAGAGGAAAACATAGTTAGTAAAATTTTAGCTATCCCATTTAGCAATATTTTTGCTGATATATCTCCCAAGACAATGGAAATAAAGAAAAAATAAACACGACAAAATAAAAAGTGTTTGCATGACTGAAGAAGTCATCATCAAAATGAAAAGAGAACTGACTGTAGGAGAACATATTGCATCAGACGAGGGTTTAATCTTCAAAACATATGAAGCCAATCATACATCAGACAATGGTTTAATCTTCAAAATATATAAAGAACTCATACCACCAAACACCAGGAAGAAAAACAATCCATTTAAAAAATGGGCAAAGGACCTGAATAGACACTTCCCCAAGAACATACAGATGGCCCATAAATATATGCAACAATGCTCAACATCACTAGCCATCAGAGAGTTGCAAATTAAAACCGCAATGAGATATCACCTCAGACAAGTCAGATTGGTCATCATAAACAAATCAACAAACAGTAAGTGCTGACAAGGATGTGGAGAAAAAGGAACCCTAACGCACTGTTGGTGAGAATGCAGACTGGTGAGGCCACTATGGAAAACAGTATGGAATTTCCTCAAAAAAATTAAAAATGAAACTGATTTTTGACCCAGTGATTCCACTGCTAGGATTATACCCTAAGAAACCCAAAACACCAACTTAAAAGAACTTATGTACTCCTATGTTCATAGCAGTACTATTTACAATTACCAAGTGTTGGAAACAGCCTAAGTGCTGATCAGTAGATGAGCACTTAGGCTGTTTCCAACTTAAGTTGGATCAAAAAACTATGGCATATTTACACAATGAAATACTATACAGTAGAAAGAAAGAAGGAATTCCTACTTTTATTGACAGCATGGAGACTATTATGCTAAATGAAATAAGCCAGTCAGTGAAAGATAAATGTAATATGATCTCACTTATAATAGGAATTTAATAAAAAAATAAACTAATGAGCAAAATAGAACCAGATGCATCAAAATGTGGAACAGGCTGACAGCTGCCAGAGGGTACAGGGGAGGAGAAAAATGGTGGAAAGAAAGGGAAGGGATTAGTCAAAGAACATGTATGAATGACTCATGGACATAAACAACGATATGGGGATTGACTGTGGGAGGGGGGGTGGGGTAGGTGGAGGAAGGCAAAGGGGGGAAATTGGAACAACTGTAATGGAATAAACAATAATAAAAATAATTGATTAACTATTTTTGTGTTTGAGTGTTCAATTATTCCCAAACTGTTGAAAAGGCTATCATTTTTTTCACGGAATTGTCTTTACATCTTTATCAAAAATATGTGGTGTACATGTGTATGATCTTTTTCTTGGCTCTGTAGTTTGTTTCATTGATTTATTTATCATTTCACCAATACCATGCTTCTTCATATTCTACCTTTATAGTATCTCTTCACATTGAGTTGTATGAGTTCTTCCACTGTGTTCTTTGTTTTTGTGTTGACCCTCCTAGGTGTTTTGCCCTTCAACTTAAATTTTGTAAAAACTTGCTCATATCTACAATATAGCTTATTAAGATTTAGATTGAGATTGTGTTGAATATTTAGGTCAAATTGAGAAGAACTGACGTCTTAAACATATTGAATCTTCTAAACCATGAACACAGAATATCCTTCCACTAATATAGATCATCTTTGACTTCTTTCATCAGAGTTTTGTAATTTTCTGCATATAGATCCTGTACATCTATATATATTTTAATATAAAATTAGGCATTTCACTGCTTGGTGCTACTGTAAATGTTACTATTTTTCTTTTTTTTAATTTCAAATCCCAACTGTTAACTGTTGGTTTTTAGGAAATAAAGGCACATGTATAGTGGCTTGTATCTTGTAACTGTGTTATACACACTTATTGACTCTAGGAGGTTTTTTGTGAATCTTAGACTTTTCCACAAAGACAAAATGTCATATGCAAATAGAGAATTTCATTTAGTTCTTTACATTCTGTATACCTTCTTTTTGCCTTTTTTTAATGCGCTATCTGGAGTTTTCAGTATGATGTTTAATAGAGCTGTGATGGAGAACTTACTTGTATCCAATTTCATGGGCAAAACTGACTAGTTTCTGCCATTAAATATAATCTTCACTGTAGAGAATTTCAAAGATGCTCTTTAACAAATTCAAATATTAATAGTTTCACTCTATTTCTAGTGTCCTGAGAATTTTATCACTAATGGGTATTGAATATTTCAAAATATATTTTTCTATGTCAACTGCTAAAATCATATAATGTGTTTTCTTTATATTGAATTAAGTAGATTGTTTAACCATTCTTGCATTCCTGGAATAAAGCCCACTTGCTTGTGGTGGTTCACAATTTTTGCAGTACATTGTCAGATTCAATTTGCTAATACTTTTTTGAGAATTTTTACATATTCATTTACATATTTCTGTTTATATAATATTTTTAATCTGATTTTGCACTGGGGTAATTCTATCCTCATATGATGAGTTAGGGAGTATTCTCTCTGTTTTTTGTTTGTTTGTTTGTTTGTTTGTTTTTCTGGAGAAAGCTATAGGGGAATTAAGTTCCATTTCCTAATTAAACATTTGGTATAAGTCACAGGTGAAACTACCTGGTCCTTTCAATTTTGATTTTTTATTATTAATTCAAATTC